TATAAGGAGACTGTGATTAAAGGCTTGTGAGTTCTGCTCCTGAAACTGTGTGTCGTCCAGTTATTGGGATCGCTGTGGGGAGGTTGCTGTTATTTTACCTGCTGGAAACTTTGCCTATGGATTTATTATTTACTTGTTCCTGAGCCTCACTTGGATTATAAGCGGAGACAACCTGGGGAATATTGCATCTCCGCTACAATATGTTTATTTGAGTTACATCTATCTTTATATAGACTGATAATAAATAGCTCCTGTTAAAATCCATAAGTATATGTGTTTAGGGATCAGGAGGATTTACCTTACTGAAAAATGCAATTTTATTTAAGGCTACATTAGGTATACTTTTACTTTCAAACAATGTACTTACAAAAAGCTTTATGTAGAATAAGAATAATCTATGCATTAATTTATAAACTGTTCTTTAATATAAAAAAAAGATAATTCCTCCTTCTAGATCTTACATCAGAGTCTGTAACAAAATAGACATAATGTCATATTAAAAATAATAAGGTGGGTAAAAATTAGGCTGTTAGGCTCATTAGCCAATTAGTGCAATAAACATAATCTGTTTCGTATATATATATATATATATAAAAAAGAAAGATAAATTAAGGCCTTGTACATACATACAAAAATGTTGTGTTTTTTTTTATCTACTCCCCAAGTTCTTGTTTTTATTTTAGCCCTGTCTCCACCCCAGTGTCACCTTCTCCTTATCCCAATATCACCTTCATCCTATCTCCCCAGTTACACCACCTAAAAACCTTCCCAATGTGCATGGACCTAATCCTTAATACACACACACAAAAAAACCATTAAAGGGTTAAAAAAAGCTTTTATGAGCAAGTGATGTCAGCAATGAGTCGAAACCTGAAATTAGATTTAATTTAGTTCCTAGAATCTTCAGTGCACAGAATAGAGGAAATGGTTGTTTGAACACTGATGCTAAAGACATTTGTGCCCTGAGGAAATCCATCATAGCTAGAAATATTTATTAAAAATGTGCGGTTTAAATTATCAACACAATGTAAAGACAGATTTCAAACCGTGCTTTACATAAGATGATAGTTCCAAGAACATCTCTGATTCGGTGAAACTCCTGTAATTAATTACAGATTCCACTATACCAGTAAATTAATTCTACACGCACAGAGCTGGCACTAAAACAAAGACAATAAAAGACTTGCCTAGGGCTCAGCACAAGGAGGAGCTGTGCCAGAATTGTCTGCTTCCTCCTCAAGGAAACTCTGCGCTTACTAGGTGAGTCTTCACACACAAGATTGGACAACTCTCTCATTTGTAGAGGTCAGGGCGGATTCAAACCTCCACCAGGCAGTGTACCATATTGGCATCTAAGCTCATAGTTGGCAGCCTTTGGTGTCATTCATACACAAAACAGATTAACGAACAGCACACACATAAAAATACAGTCTAAACTGTATAAAGCAACTTAAAATCGCCTATCTCAGCAAACAAATATGGTGATTCAGTTCCACCATATGGCCATATTGTGTTAGGCCCACCGCTACTTCACAGCACCCCAATATTAGTTGGTCCTACACTAATTCCAACGTGAGAGACAAATTTAATATTGCTAGTAGTGATGTCCAGAACGGTTCGCCGAACGGTTCGCGAATGGTTCGCCACGAACGGTTCGCCAGCAGACACATTCCAGCCAATCAGCAGCAGACCCTCCCACCTCCTGGACAGCTCACTAAGAATGCAGCTTCAAAATGGATGCTGTCCAGGAGGTGGGAGGGACTGGGAGGGAGGGTCTGCTGCTGATTGGCCGGAATGTGTCTGCTGACTGTGAGGTACAGGGTCAAAGTTTACTCAATGATGAGTCCACGGCGAACCGTTCGCGGCATCACTAATTGCTAGTGCTAAATAAGCCAACGTGTATTTTAATAAATTGTTTTAATAGCATTGTGAATATATATATATATATATATATATAATGCATAATTTATGTGATAAATGCAATAAAAAAATCAATTTCTAAACTAAACAATAAAAGTGATAGTAATTTGATGTATATACCCACAACACATATATGTCCGCTCTAGAGCAAATGAAAATTATAATTTAAGTGACATTACTATCCAAAATCTCCTCAAATTTATACTTTCCTGTGGTCATCTCCAAAGGGGCCTCTGAAGCTCGGGGCAGGCTGCTTGGCGGGGTGCTCAACCTAA